GATGAACTGGTGTCAAGATGAAGCTCTGATAAAGGAATAAAGGTAAAGGCAGAATAAGCTCAAGCTTCAGCCTACAGCTTTTCGGTATGTGTATGTTAAATATGACTGTCTGTGGAATAATGTCAGAATAAACTGTGACCGAAATAAATAATTAATCAAATCTGCTATAATGTTGTTTCTTCATCTACTCGGGGGTTGTGTTTTGTTTCATTCACACAAATTTAACACACAAATCCTGCAGCGCTGGAATTTCTGATTTCAAAAGGTAAAAGATAGCTCCTAACTTTGAAAACTACCTCTTCATGACATCACAAGGTGGAACAGAGCTTGTAGTGATGTAGACAGACTAATAATAAAGGGTTACTCAAACATGTTCAGTGTGTTTTTGATGAGGAAACAACATTCTAACAGGTCTCTAACAAGCTCTAAAGAGTGTCATTTTCTTAATAAGGGACCTTTGAGTGAAATTATGAACAAAACTAATCAAAACTACTAAACTAAAATAACTTTTCTGCATCCAAGTCATTTTAACTAATACTGAAATCTTCCTTTTTGTTTTCCTTGCACCATAAATAATGAGTGTGTAAACTCTGGAGCAGTCAGAGCCTTCACTTGTGTTGACGTTGGAAACTTTCTATCTGAATCATCTGTGGTGGAGTCAGCTGCAGATTGACAAATAGAAGGTTTTATGGCTTAGAACCAAGTAAATATTATTATTAGGCTATATGCAGATAAAATAAACTCACTTTTTCATCATATATTGCTGATTTAGGAGAATTAACTGGAGTCTACAGTAGCCAAATATACGCTACTGTTTACATTGGACATATCTGATGTTACTGGGTTTGTTTTTGCTGCTGTCTATAGACCAGTACATGAGAATTGGTATTGCATATTACAATCAAATATATTCATTGTACAGTAAATATGCTTCAGTTTGCTGTTTATAGGCGGCATTTTGAGTACTTGTGACCATTCAAGATTTTTGATTGGTAAGTGCCATCGCATCTGTCTCCATCTGTATTAGTTGTAATCACTGTGAAACCCATGGATAGATAATTTACCAATCCATAAATATAGATATCTGTAGAATTTATAAACCACTTGAATCTGTGTGTCATTCCTTCATTTGTTTTTCAAAATAAAAGAAAAAATAAGAAAATAAAAAAAACTATTTTCTTCATTATTTGTCCCCCAAACCAAAATGAAAAAATGGATAATGATTTATTTTTTTTTTCAGTTTTCGATTTTGTGTTTTTTGTCTTTAAATGAATAATGGAAAAACTTAAACTGTGACTTAAACTGCGATGCTGGACTAAACCAGGACTGTACAAGGACTGAACCAGGACTAAAACAGGACTAAACCAGGACTGTACAAGGACTGAACCAGGACTAAAACAGGACTAAACCGGGACTGAACAAGGACTGAACCAGGACTAAAACAGGACTAAACCAGGACTGTACAAGGACTGAACCAGGACTAAAACAGGACTAAACCGGGAATGAACAAGGACTGAACCAGGACTAGAACAGGACTAAACCAGGTCTAAGCCAGGTCTAAACCAGAACTGAAACGGCCTCAGTCCCAGTCTGGTCCCAATCTCAACGCCCAATAGTCAACGCGGACGCACCTCCAGGCCCGTTCCAACTGTCAGTCCTGGTTTAGACCTGGCTTAGAACTGGTTCAGTCCTGATTCAGTCTTGGTTTAGTCCTGGTTCAATCCGGCATCACAGTTTAAGGCCGTAATTCATTTTTTCCATTCTTCATTTAAACACAAAATCGAAAACTGAAAAAACAAATCATTATCCATTTTTCATTTTGGTTTTGGAGACAAGTAATGAAGGTAATAGTTGTTCTTTCGTTTTCTTATTTTTGGTTTTATTTTGAAAAACGAATGAACGAACACGCAGTCACCTGTCTCCATGGAGATAGATGCCTTGAATGCCAAACAATGGAACATAACAGGCATGGAAACAAGCAAGTGGCAAACCCTCCAACATGACAGAAAAGTTACATAGTGCACCTTTAAAACTCCTATATGAGCTTTAACACTTAAAAACATACCTGGAATTGGGTTTTGTTTTGTTTTTTTGAGTATTTAAGTATCATTAGACTGTGTACATCTCCAGAGCTCAAAATGCTTCGTTCCACCTTGTGACGTCATGAAGCAGTAGCTTTCAAGTTAACACCTACTTGTATCTTTAGTTCAGTAGAGATTAGCAAGAGCTGAAATGATCCAAATGGCTCTAGTGGAGGTGTATGAAGTTTAAAACACAGTGGAACACTTTCTGCATCACCACATGACATCACAATTTGGAACAGAGTGTTTTCTGTTTGAGAGAAGAACTCATCCTAAATATGTAGGCTTTGTGTGTTAAACGTGTGAATGAAACAAAACACAACTCCAGGTCTGTTTGTGACAAGGAAACATTATAACACAGATCAGAAAATAACGTAACATGGGTCTTTAACCATTTCAGCATGTTGTGAAGTGAATCCAAGCCCTTCATCACTTTGCAGTTCTTAATTAAGTTTGCATTACTGTACTCTCTTCTCTCTTCTCTTTTAATGTTATTATGATGATTATTTATGTTCTGGTCTGCTTGTTTTATAATGTCTTTCTTATTCCGTAAAGCTCTTTGAATTACTTTGTGTACGAACGGTGCTATACAAATAAACTTGCCATTTTTTCCATAACACAGAGCACCTGCATCTTTACCTCACCTAATGCACTGAGAATGTCGAGCTGTTATAACTGAACTTGAACCAACCAGGGCATCTGAACCTTTTCACGGGACACCGAGCAGCTGTGGACCTGCTCTTAAACCTCTGCCTATGAACCGTGCACTAGAACGCTTCTTAATTAGAAAACGAAACACATGGTTTTTCAGCTGTTTGGTGCCAGTAGTAAAGACTGTAGGGTTTGAGTTGACTTAAGAAATTCTTGGTGGACTGAAGACTAAGCCTGCTGATAAGACTGTCACAATAACAAATTTTGAAGTGTGATATACTTGTGAATAATCTATAAATAATATTGAAACTAATTTATGCCACTTACACAATAATCCTTAAAGGTTGTATAGAGGATTTTTTGTTTTTGTTTCAAATTGTCAATAAAAGTTTAAAATACCATTACAGAGATGCAGCCTTGTAATTATGATGACCAAAAAAAAAAGAATGAAAATCTATCAACTGTGGACATAGTGAGGCCAGATAAACATCAGCCAATAGATAACAAGGCTGCCTCATTTTCTATTGGCTCGTAAGTTCGCAATCAAACTCCCTACTTTTCTAGTGAAACTGACTTGCCGGAGTGCGGGGATTACGTGGTTTATGCAGCGGTTTTTAGAGGTTTTTTTAAACTTCCTCGCAGTTTGCACAAAGTTTGTTGTGATGGCGGACGAGAATCCACGACCAGTTCACCGCAAAAGAAAGTCTGTTTTTTGAGGTAGCTGAAAGAAGAAGAGAAGGGGAAAAGGAGCAAAGCCAAACTGAGGTGATTCTTGGAGAAGATCTCTTCCAGCGATTGCGCAAATGAAGCAGACAAAGGATCTAAAAACTGACGTGTCGGTCGCTAAATTTTTTCTACACAGGTCACTTCAACAGTAATTCTGAACACGCACTGGCTGTAAACAAGCGTGATTTCTAGAGTAAGGAGGCGGGAGGAGATGTTTCTACTGAGGGACCTATGGAAGAGGAAGGTGGTGTCACACATGCACAACAAGAGGAGAAAGGACTGTCACTGTATTTCTTTTCCCTTAAAAAATCCTCTATACAACCTTTAAAGGTGCATTGTGTAACTTTTCTGGAGAAGGGTTCGTCAAGTGCTTTTCTCCATGGAGATGTTAATGCTTTGTCTGGAATGTTTCACAGTGTGGTAATAAATCTTTCTCTCTTCATGTAAACCAAAACAGATCAAGTTACAGGTCAGATCTGTGGAGAGGCAATGCCGCTCACAGTCAGAATGTCTGTTTTTTTTTAGGTATTTTTGAGCAATAAAACCACCTGTAATTGAAAAAATGTAAAGTAGAGCTGAGCGGAACATTCTAGGCAGAGTAATGACATATCCAAAAAGTTACATAGTGCACCTTTAAGCAGAATTATCCCCCAAAAATATTTTAAAGGTGCACTATGTAACTTTTTGGTTGGGGTTGCAAACAAAACTCGGTACATGTCTCTATTCTACGGATGTAAATGAAAAGATTATTTTAAGGACTTGACATATATAACATTTTAGAACTTGAGAAACTTGGTTTTAAATTGTTAATCACTATGGCAACAGTCTTAATTTTTCATTATTCTAAAACATGGATAAGCAAACACGTATAAAAACATTGCAGAATATAAATTAGGAAAGTAGTTGGCTAAAAAGACCAGGCGCAGACCAGAGGAAATCCAAAATTTCCTTCCAAAATAGACACGATTGCTCAAACTTCTAAAGCTTCAGTTGTAATAAATAATCACGACCACAGTCAAATGTAAACAGCCTTTAAATCAGGATTAAAATAACCGCACTGTACATGTTGCAATTTCACATCACTTGTATTTTTAGACCTTGCCTAACGTGTAACTGAAGAAGACTCAGGTATATTAACGGTTTCAACACGGTTCATTAACCATCTTCACTGACAGAACGGGGCTAAAGTGTAATTTTCTCTGGTTTAATCATTAACAGCTCCTCTTCTAATGCAGTCGTGGGCTAATCTGATAAGAGTCGCTAATTTCTTTGGTTTGCCGCAAGTTTATACGCGACCTTTACGCACACACTTTACGTACAAATCTGGACACCAAATTCATTCATAACTACCCCAAACCAAAATACTTGCCTTTATTTCGCTATTTATTGTATATATCCACGAGGGTTTCTTTTTAAAATCAGTTATATAGTTGTTATATGGCACCAGCGCTATCACTAATTACATTACGCACGGATTTTACGCACCAAAACTGACCAAAAAACGCACAGATCCACACGTATAAGCAAAGTACAAAACTTTACCTCGCTTTCCGTCGTGTTTCTGTCCTTGGCGGAGAGTTTCTTGAAGTTGGTCGGAAATCCACTGATGTACACGGAGCCCACGGTGAAGCAGAGCAGCCAAAGATGCGACGCGTCCCGTAGTAGCATCTTCTCTGAAACCGAGCCAATATTTTTATATAAATCCTTCAGCGTGTATTTTCACATAACAGTAGCGGTCGTAGGTCATCTGTACTTGGAAATTGTGGTATAAGGCAAGCCAAAACCCACATGTCCTCTTGCTTTTTTTTTTTTTTTTTTTTTTTTTTTTTTTTACATCCAATTCTGTGTTACCCCTGTCGAAAAATACGTCCACTTCTTGTGCGTAATATTAACTCGAAGCCTCACGTTTTCTGCACGCTGTTCCAAAATCAATGTATAGTCCCATGTAGGAGCAAAGCGTAGAGAAGTTTTACGTCCTGGCGCACACGTAGCTCCTCTGATGTGACGTCCAGCCGGTCAGCGCTTCCTCTGGTCGCGAGCCAGAGCGTAGTAAAGCTTTGAAGAGGGGCGACCCCCTCTCACGCGCATGACGCAACAGAGGGTGGGAGGGCACGTATGGCAGGCATCAGGACACTAACAATGTTCACAATAGTTCTTCAAGTCCTTCATGTTGACAACCATAAAATAAAGTGCATTTTTGTAATATTTTATTGACCAGGTTTATAGGCACCAGTTGCCTATATCTTTCTTCTCTTATTACGCACACTATCCATAAGTGCATGTTCTGAACACTGTGTTCTCTGGACTTCAGTTGCTGTCTATGAGTTTCAGAATCACACAAAAAAAATGAGGACAGTTGCCATAGTGACTAACAATTTAAAACAAAAGATTATAAAATATATAAAATATAAATATATTTCAAGGCACCCAAAGTGCTTTACAGTGCAGTATTCTTTCACTCCACATTCAGTGGTGGTGAGCTACTGTTGTAGCCACAGCTGCCCTGGGGCAGACTGACGAAAGCGAGGCTGCCAATCTCCCGTTGGCCCCTCTGACCACCACCAACACCCATTCACCTTCATACTAAAATGCACTGAGTTGTATGGAGTTCACTTCTCTGCTGTATTGGCTGTTACGCAAACGGCCCACAGACACGGGGACTTTTCTATGAGGCTTGTTGCCAGACATAATATCCAAAAATATCTATCCTCGTCTAGCACAATTTTCAAGACTTATATTAATCAAACAGAGTGGGAAAAGTTTAAGGCAAGAATTGACATACTGCAAATATATTATGTCCATTTCTTCCTTCTGGGTTAGACTTAGACTTAGACAAACTATGCTGATCCACAAGGGAATGATTTGGACACAGCTCACTCATCACAAGATAAATATAAATATATAAATGGTAACAATAAATTCAAAATAAGTAGCAAAAATAAACTTACTGTCACAGGGAGCCTTATAGTGTGACAGACAAACATTATGTACAGTAGATAAAGTGTCTTGCTAAAGGAACCAACAACAGATCAAATATACAGAGCTTGAACACAGAATACGTTTTAATGCCATCAATGTTCACAAACAAAATTCACAAACTGGGAACTCTGAATTGTTAACAATGAATAATCATTTGAATTCCTACATTTTTAAATCTACCTAACATTATCTCGCAGTTATGACTTGTTTTTAGCTTGAATGTTGTGTGATAGAATAACAAATTACTTATCGAGCCTAAATTAGTCCATACATGCAATGCTATACCTTTCAAATATGTAATCGTCATGCCAACCGTTGAATAGAAAATCCTCAATACTCAATACTGATCTGGAGTTGAGTAGCAGCTGGTGGTTCAAACTGCCCTGAGAGGATTCCCGTGTCAGGACAGAGATAAACAGACAGATGAATGAGGTGGGTTGAGATTTGAGAGACTAAAAAGATCACGAGTGACATAAAGGCCATGATAACACAGTGTACATCTGATATGGACAGCTGGACGACCGACAAGAGCTGGAAAAAAGCTTAAAATAATATATAATAAAGACAGGACAAGATCTCCAGAGAGCAAATTGCCACAAGATTTTTATTTATTTATTTATTTTTTCTGTCTCTTTACATTTGGATTGAACAACACAGGGTCATGTATGAACCCGTTAAGCATTGGTTAAGTGGCATAAAAAATATTAAATAAAATATATCAAGAATTGTGAGGACATATTTGGAAACAGTTCTGCACAGTTATAGAAATGATGTAAAAATCTTCATTCTCATGGACTTAGTCTGATTTTTCAGTTTTAGAACACCACACTTTTTCCACTTTTTTACTGTTTACTGTTGACCAAAACATATTCTAAACTTTTGATTCGTGAAAGTGTCCACCGTGGGCAGATATAACAGCTGAACACACTCGTAGCTCGTTCTTTTTACAATAGAAATCAAATGTTCTTCAGAAAGTTCTTCCCAAGTCTGTTGCAGAAGTTTCCATAAATGTGTGGCACTTGTAGGTTGCTTGACTTTCACTCTTCTGTCCAGTTCATCCCAAACCAGCTCGATGGAGTTTAAGTCTGGACACTGTGCTGGACACTCCATGTTTTCAAGCTTTACCATCTTGTTCTTTTTTTCCTGAGGTAGTTTTGGCAGAGCTTGGACTTGTGTTTTGTATCTTTTATCTTTTTTTAACCTCTGTCTGTTCAGTTCTTACCTTTGTACCATTTCAAGCTCTTCATTGGTCTTGCACGACTTGAACTGTAAGAAAAAATTGGAAAAATTAAGGTGTTCCAAAACTTTTGACCAGTAGTGTATGTCTTGTTCGTTGTTATCTGTGCTATAAAGACAACAGTGCTTTTATAACAACAAATAACGTAACAAAAGCTTTAATGGTTTCAGCTCACCATCAAATAAACTGTGGTTCCAAATATCAACAAGATGAACTCATATGGATCTACACCAAGATTTAAAGTTAGAGTATGTAATTATTCTCACTCGCTTGTCTCCATGAAGATTTCATTGTTTCACTTGGAATGTTCCACAGTATGACATAAAACCTGGGAGATGACCAAGTTTATAGACTATTTTATTTACTGAAACAAGGACAGCGCACAATTTTTACATGAACCTTAACAGTAGAGATGCGTTGTACCAGGTTGTGGCACCAGTGCTAATTTCCACCTGTAGTCTCTGAGCAGATTAAATGACTGATTATATTTAATTGACCATATCTATTAGCTATTCTTCCTATGTAGCATGTTTTGGGTTGTGATGCCACCAAGGTATCAACCAGGTCTATGAAGAGGCAAGCTCACGTACAATAAAAAGCATGTTTTTCAATATACTTTTGGCTAATACTGGTAATAATTAAATAAATACACTATATATTCATGCAGATTCATGCAGCTAAAACCTGGCACAGTCTTCCTGAAGATGTTAGACAGGCCTCTACTTTGACACTGTTTAAATCCAGGCTCAAAACAGTTCTGCATAACTGTGCATACGACTGAAACGTTTTCATTTTTCATTCCACACTCTTCTTCGCTCTAATTTTATGTTTTGATTTGTTTGTATTGTGGTTTTAATGTATTTCTCACTCTGTAAAGCACTTTGAATTACTTTGTGTACGAATTGTGCTGTACAAATAAACTTGCCTTGCCTTTAAGTTTAATGTCATTCTGTGGAACATTCCCAGGCAAAGCTAAACTAATGCCACGGAGACAAGAAGGTCGTATCTTCACTAGTAAAATTACATAGAGAAACTTTAATCAGCCATAGAGATATTACCGTATTTTCCAGGCTATTAGGCGCTCTGGATTATAAGGTGCACTGTCATTAAATGGTCTATTTTTGAACTTTTTTCACAAATAAACAGCACCGGACTTTAAACGAAACACAGCAGTTGGATGGTCTCAGTGGGATTTGTTTGTGCGTTCACGGTGTGACTCTGGGCTTTGTTCAGTTGTGGCGTGTAGGGAGGGTGCTGTCTGAGACCAACGGATTGTCGGCGTGTTCGCAGTGACTCAGTTGTTCAGTTGTGGCTAGAAGTGGCACATTGCACTCGCTTTATCGGTTCGTTCCTCCTTTCCATTCCTCCTGGAGTGACGAGTGTGGCTGCGGATGTGTTTTTCGCTGCACGGTCGCTGTCTGCTCCGTGTGTGTTTGTGTGCACTGCGGGTGGTGCGGCTTTGTACTTTACTGAAGTCGTGCTGGGACACCCGAGTGGATTCATGTATAGGGTAAACGGCATACAGTAAACTTATAGGTCAACCAACTAAAACCAAAATGATGTCTTAAAACCAGTAAAAATCCTCTTAAAACTTGTCAAAATGTCCATAGTATTAACAACTGATATAAATTGTGCAAATATTTGGAGTCAGTCATTCTAACTCGTGTAGTGTCTTTTTTTGCAGTGCGCTGGTTTAGATTACACGGTGGGGGATACAGGGAGGACATATGAACAGGTTTTTGTCAAGACCAAAGTCCTTGAAGCAGAATTTTGCACATTTGTTTGATTTAAAGCCAAGTTGATAGAGACACAAACCAAACAACGCAAATGTTCCATTCAAACAGCCATTAAAAAGAGATAAGTCAAATGAGCAGTGCATCTCATATATTACACCAGATTGTGAAATAATTTAGTCTGTAGTTGTGGTCATATTTTTGAAATGTGATTATGGTCGATTCAAGTTTCTCGATTTCACTTCAGCCTGAAAATAATTCCATTTGTAAAGCTATTAATACGTTTTGCTGTGATTGGCCCCAGACAACCAGACATCCAAGTTAACGCTGCAAAAAAAAAAAAAAAGTGTTGAAATGACTTGAATTCAGAATACTGTCATGTTTGTGCAGATCTGACTAGTTTTTAATGATTTAGATGTTAAGCTTAGAATTTTTAAGTTGTTTCAAAGTATTCTAAAGGTGTACTGTGTAGGGTCCATCATATACTTCTCTCCATGGAGATGTTATTGCCTTGTCTAGAATATTCCACAGTATAGGCGAGTTTCAGTTGACGTCATTGTTATTAAAAGCCCGCGTTGCATACTGGGAAATGTATTGGTCGGAGGCAAGAAACACGGTAGCGTCAAACACAGTGCATAACCTTGCGTATTTATCCCCGATAATGGTAAATTCCTGCTGCATTATCAGATGCACAAATAGAAACATGGAAGAAAGAAAATGTCTTTTTCGTATTCTGAGTGAAAAGAACTGCTAACTGCGAATTAAACGGCTTTCAAACATTCGCAGAGCAAACGTAGAAAACCTAACAAACCGTGGACTCCAACGAGTTCAAAAACACATCGAGACTCTTGGAGGTTTTCATCTTTTCTGCTGTGAATGGCCCAGGAGTTTCCACCAAGTCATTGTGGATATCACCAAAGTGAATATTTGTCCAGGTAGTTGGTGATTCTGACCAGAAATTTGGTTTGGTCCAGGCTCTGTCGGGGTTGAAAAGGGTGATTTGGCTCCATCGATGCTTATGACCAATTTCTGGTCAAATGGTCTTGGGTCCTCTGCC